GCCATGCTGGCTGGGGGATTCTGGGAGTTGAAGTCCACCCATCTTAAAGTTGACACAGTTTAAAAAAAGGTGGTCTAGACCCATAAAGCTGTGAGCCAAGTTGGTGGTCTTGGGTCCATTTTCATAGTGCCCTTAATTGACTGAAGTGTTGGCTTTGCAAGAACCTCCAATGTGCTAAAAGTGATTCCAGAGACAGCAGACCAGGGTAGACCACATGTACGGTTGGTGGCAAGGCCTAGGCCGCTTCAAGCAAAGATGCAGCGGTGCAGGGGGATTGCATGCTCTTGATTGCTTCTCCTCCCCCTGAAAAAATGGGTTGACCTTTATTAATAGCGGTGAGCAGTATTTGGATCTCAAGCAGGCACCCGCTCTCGGTCTCACCAGCTGCCTCTTAAAAGAGAGAGGGCTTTTCCTCTTGTGTGTCATTCGAGGCCTGATCCAGAACTCTCTGCTTGCAAGCCGTCCTCAGGGACTGTCTGTGTGCAGACCAGCAGGAACCTTGCCCTGTTCTAGGTCCCCTGCTGGACCCATGGCTACATTCCTTCCCGGTGTTCTAGGAGTTAAGGGTCATTTCAAACCTTTTCCAATGATATCACCTGCTGAGCGTTGAACACTGATCTGGGGATCAGGTGACACCGTTGGCATTCTCTTAACTCACTGGGCGATCCCTTCAGAGGGCTGCCTGCTTTGCAGAGGAATCTATATCTCGGGTCTCATCTAGTTCCAGTCTGGTTAATAACAAAACAACAAGAACAACAATAATAATTTATTAAACTTGTAGGCCACATGACTCTCAGTGACTCTGGTTCTTCTCCAGCTATTCCAAAGGAGGTTGTCCCAGATGCTTCCTTGCTGGATCTGTTGCTTGGGGAGAGGACAGATTGATGCAGAACAGCATCATTTCTCCCTTTGTTTTCCCTTTGATGCTTTTCAGCTTACTTCCATTGTGGCTCTGTAACCACTGTTACCTGGGGTTAGACGTTGATTTTGTTAATATGAGAAGGAGGTGCCCTTCCCCAGCACAGGAGGTAACTGTGGGATTACAGGACAGTAAGTAAAACCCAGCTGGTTGACCCTGCAGGACTGGTTATGGCCAGCAAAGAGGTTGCCTGCTCGAGCAAGACCCATGGAAGTGGGGTGGGGGGGGCTCCCCTTTGCTAGAGAGGCATCTGTCAGGTTGCTTCTATTGGGATTCCTACAACTCTGTGTGCCCAGTTCCAGTCCAAAGGCCTCACTGCGTCTAAAGCATGGTACAGCCAAGGTTTCCTGTGTTTGGATAGGATGGTAAGATTGTTTGGCATGCCATGTGGAAATGCCAGTGCATCTCAAGTCTATAAATCTATAGCCTCCCTTCTGAGCAAGAAGACTAATGTCTCCAGGCACCTGGTTGAGTGGCGCATGGCCAGAGCTGGTCCAGTATGATAGTGAGGAAGGTACTCATTGTCAAGCCTCCCTGGCTGATGGCATTTTATATCGTGACCTGAAGAAGCATCTTTACTTGTCCAAACTAGTTCCTGGAATAATGTTTAACCCATTTTTTCCTTTTAAAAAAAAGCAGCATTTGCCCACAAACTCCCATCTGTGATTCTGTGAACTTACCATTGTTCAGTTGTATTCTTGGGCCATGTTCAATTACAGCCAGCACTGAGGGCAGAGGGGGCTCTTGAAGCATATTGATAAATTGAAAGAGAAAGGCTATAGCTGTAGCAAATGTCCTCTCTGTTATAAATAGGTTTTTATTGGGGGAGTGTCTATTTGACATGGCCATCTTCTCACTGTCCTTCCAAGTCTCCTTCCTGCCTCTTCATCCAAGAAATGAGGCTGATGCCACATTGCTGAATCTTCTGACCTTTGCAGTCATCCTTCTGATGGATGAGGCATGCTAAAATTTCTTCTCAAGATTGGTAGTGCATTCAGTGTTTCCTATAATGCAAGTCTGATTGGGTCAGATTTGAAAGCTTCATTCACAAAACCTTGTCTTTTTCTCAAAGCTGCTGTTGGCAACACTGGTGTTGATCCAGCCTGTGCTGTATGTTAGGGAATGGGGAAGGATGGGTGGTCTAGTCACCTGAAACTCTGCCATCCTTCCAGAGGTGCCATTCATGGACCTTCATTGGAGATCCCTTTTCAACTCCTTTTTGAGCAGAAGAGCTGTGTTTGATCTTAAAAAGGCAGACCAAGAGATGTGCTTCAATGTGCTGATGAGATACGCAGCTATACATCTCCATCCCTGGTGAAGTAAGTGATGCCGTGGCCACCCTTTTGCGGTGCCTGGAGGCTGTAAGGGTCTGGATGGGGAACAACAGGCGTCAGCTGAACTCTG